CATGATCCCAGGGTCCTGGGATCAAGCCCCATATAGGGCTCCCTGCTCAGCAGGGAGCCTGCTTCTTCCTCTCCCACTGCTGCTCCCCCTGCTTGTGCTCTCTCTCTCTCAGATAAATAAATAGCATCTTAAAAAATAAAAGAATGTGTCTATGTTATAGAGGAAAAAAGAAAGAATTTCCCTAAAAGGTGTGATACACATTTAGGATCATCTCATGGAAGTGAGTACCATTGGTACCTCAAAATAGAGGTGCGACGTGGACATGTTTAGTACTGTACAGAAGGAAGACTTCTTACAACCTCAAAAAGAGAAGGAAATGCTAGAGTTTTTAATTACCCAGGATCTGCAAATTAGCCAGAAATATCAATCCGTATCAAAATCAAATGTTTCTAAAAAGGTCCCATCTGCTTTGCCTTTCTTTTCAATTCACTGCTCATGTTTTCTGGGTCTGGGGCTTGTCCCTCTGTCCTCTAGCCAGGCTGTGCTCAATCAAGATAAGGATACGTGGACTTGACTCGCTGTCGACCTAGCGGAGCTTGCTTTATGGACCCTGAACTGTGAAGTGTAGAAAATTCGAAGGCAAAGGACAGTGGAGACTGTGTTGGTCTCTGTGACTCAGAGACCCCAAGTCCCCAACCGTTACTGGTCACTTCCGAACCGGAGTCTCCATGGGATAACAGTGTTGCCTGTTTTTCTCACTCTTCCTTCCCAGCTTGGGTGGCAAGGGTGGAGGGTTTGATCTGGATTCTTTTTTCTTAAGATTTTATTAATTTATTTTTATTAATTAATTTAGTATTTATAAATAAAATCTTAAGACTTTATTTATCATGAGAGAGAGAGTGTGCGTGTGTGTGCAGCAATGGTGGGAAGAGGCAGAAGGTGAGGGAGAAGCAGATTCTGTGCTGAGCAGAGAGCCTGATGCGGGGCTCCGTCTCAGGACTCTGGGATCATGACCTGAGCCCAAGGCAGATGCTCAACCAGCTGAGCCACCCAGTGCCCCGAGATCTGAATTCTTATTAAATATCTTCTCAGGGGGAAGATACCACCAATTGAAACACCAAATATTTATCATTCTTTATTCTATTCTAATCCATATGCTAGTTCATCTATAGAAGAGAGGTAAAATTCCTCCAGAATTTAGAAGTGCGATTATGATAGTAACAGTCGAAGTCCTTTGCAGAAATGATCCAAGAAAATGGCCTTTATAGATTTGGAAACACATTTAACAACGCGGTTGTATGTAAGGAGTTGACAGTAATTTAAGTAGAAGAAACGAAGCCTAACCGCTTGTATTCTGTTCTAACCAGGAAAGAAGCTATACTGATGGCGGGGGAGAGGTGGCGGGAGGACGCCAGAGAGAGCGAGGGTTTGCTGAGTGTATCCCACTCTGCAGGAGGAGATCAGCCCCTCGAGGCAAAAATCCCACCCCCACAGACACAGTCTCGGTCTCAGGTTTCATCATGGTCTGGATGAAATAAAACTTAATAATAACATTTGTAATTAGTTAGGTCACTACTATATTCCAGGCTTGGGGTTTAGGTTCTGTTTTACGTTACATGATTTAGTCCCAACAGAACAACTTAACCTTCATTTTACAAACGAGGATACAGACACAGAGAGGTGAAACGACATGCCTGAAGTCACACGGCTCATGAGGAGCAGAATTGGGCTTGAATCTGGATCTGAGTGTGAATACTGATTTGTAATTCATTGTGGTTTTTTTTTTTTTTAACTGAGCGCCTGCTAAGTGCCACGAACTGTTCTAGATATTAGGGATGCAGCAGTAAACAAAATAAGCAAAACTCCCCGTACTCCGAGAGCTTCTGTTCTCGTGAGTACACACCACTAAGTAAATCACAGAGCACAACAACGGGGGCTGTAGCCTGGTAAGGCAGGAAGGGCACCAGAGAATGCCAGGCCCAGGTGACAGGCTGCAACTGGGCAGACAAGGAGGGCCTGGCTGAGGAGGCAGCCCACGGGGCTGGGACAGGGTGCCCCAGGGATATCCTGGAGAAGAGCAGCAGGAACAGCAGATCTTTTCAGTTTCCCTTTGCTCTCAGGACTGCCTTCATCTCTCGATCCAACTCCAGGCCCACCAGCCACCTTTCTGATTACTAATTCTGGTCTGTGTATGTCCTGAAACCTGGCAGAGGGCACCCTAAATGGCGCAGTTACTAGAAAGGTGTATGCCTGGGATCGGATAATGAATTGGCGTCAGGTCTGTGTAAGATCATTTAGGGTGAGTCAGTCTCCAAGAAATCGATCTCTCCAGTGTCTGGAACCTAGGGTGGAAGAGGTCAGTCTCTCAATCCAGGAAGGAGCCAAGCTTCGCCCTCAGATGGGCCTGGGTTCAGACCGCGGTCCCACTGCGCGCTAACTGTGATGCCGGCTCAGTTGGCCTCTGCTCCCCGGCCCGGGGATCATGAAGGTAACAGCATGACCACTGGGGATGTTGGCGAGTATGAAAAGTGATCATGTCTGTAAAGCTCTTGCCGCGCTGCCTCACTTAGAAGGGGTTTGAGACGTGGTCGTTCCACCCTTGGGCCTTTGCTGTGGGGCCGCTCGACATCCGTAGGTGATGTTCTTCTGACTTTACATAAGACCAAATCTCTCAGTGTATGTGCCTGCTCTATTGTTCTTCTCGCCAAATTTTCACACGCACTTGCATTCGTTGAATGGAACTATTCGTAGTTATCTGTAATACCTGTAGTGTGGTATGGTGTCATGTACTAGATCTGGCACATCCTTCAGCTTGGGTTCTGGTTCTGCAGTGCTATGGGCTCCACGAACTGGGATCGCGTCATCTCTCCAAAGTTCACTCTTTGTCTGCAGCAGGAGGGGGTGGCCCATGTGACATCCAGGGTTCCTCCTTACCTGCCCTCGAGATCCTCCAAGGGTCATAGTCGGTGCCCTGTAGATAGAATTGTTTCATCTTTCATTAATGCATTAAGCTTGTGATCCCTGCCATTTACCCAGCAATTCCATTTTTGGAATTTTTTTATTTTTTTAAAGATTTTATCTATTTGACAGACAGAGATCACAAGTAGGCAGAGAGGCAGGCAGAGAGGGAGAGGAGGAAGCAGGCTCCCTGCCGAGCAGAGAGCCCAATGCGGGGCTTGATTCCAGGACCCTGGGATCATGACCCGAGCCAAAGGCAGAGGCTTTAACCCACTGAGCCACCCCGGTGCCCCCATGTTTGGAATTTAATTAGGAAATCACACATGTGCACAAAGATATGTGCACAAAGATTTGTACACAAAGATATACAAGGGTACCCATTAAAATATTCCTTGTAATAGTGAAAGCCAAAAGCAACTTCAGTATTCAGACAGACTGATGGCGCGGTTTCCATGAGCTCCCGCTGCATGCCACGCTCCGGCCTGGTGCTTGGGATACATCCGTGAACCGAACCAGGCTCCCTGCCTTAACGTCCTAGCAGGGGCAGACAGACAACAAGCAAGTGACAGAAAAAAGCAAAGTATGTGATTTGTTAGAAGGTGGGAAGTGCTGTGGAAAAAGGGAAAGTGATCAGGTTGAGGGGGAATCCCGTGGTGGGGGGGGTTTCAAACATGGTAGCCAGGTGGGCCTCATGGAAAAGGGCTTGGAGTTGGCAAAGAAGGGACTCAGCTCAAGAGATGTTGGGGAGGCACGCACTCCAGGCGGAAGGAACAGCCAGTGCCAGGCCCTGAGGCAGGAACATGCCAGCGTGTTTACAGAAGAGAAGGATGCTGGGTGCTAAAGCAGTGTAAACGAGGAGGAGGAGGAGAGGGAGGTTAGAAGGGGACCAGGGGCCAAATTACAAAGGGCCTGTTGCCCTTCATGTAGATCAGCCTTTACTCTGAGTGAAATGGGAAGTCTTTGCAGGGTTTGGACAGAGGCGTCCCATGATCTGCGTTTGTGTGTTAGAGGAGACAGTGTGCTTAGTATGTTGAGAACAGGCCACGGGGAGACCAGGGAAGACAGTAACGTTGCGCGGGTGTTGCACAACCAGGGAAGAAAGATGGTGACTCAGAGAAGAATCTAAAGAAAGTGGAGACAAACAGATTCCTGGCGCGTTTGGGAAACGAAGCCAACAGCACTTGCTGACAGATTGGACGTGGGGTGTGAGCAGCGAGAGGTAGATGACGACTCGGGTCTTCCGTGCAAGTGATAGGAGGGAAGGAGCCCTGTGGGTGACCAGGGGAGGCCTGCGTGGGGTGGGCCTGGGGGAGGAGAGCAGGAGTGGGGTTTGGGAAATGTTAAGCTTGAGAAGTCTGTTGGGCATCCAAGAGAGGACTCATCCTTGCTGGCTAAGAATATTTCATATACCTCGGTGTTTGGCAGAGGACCTGGCTTGCCAGATACCATGGTCGGAGGAAGGAACAAGGAAGTTACTCAAGCATTAAATGAGTATCAGATGCCCCTGTTTTGTAAAGTGTGTGTGTCCATACTCGTGTTAGGTAAGAAAAAGTACAGGTAGATACCAAATTATTAACAGTATTATATGGGATTTGACTTCTGAGTGATTTTAATTTCTTTCTCTTTTTGAGAATGTATACTTTCTAATATCTGTCTCTACAAATTAATTTATATAAAATGGAGAATTTCTCTGAAGAGTGAGAAGACTGACTTCTCTTGATAAATTGTAGTTATTTTTCCAACCATTGCTGAACCCTTGGATTGTTTACAGGTCTTTTTCCTTGTGAATAGAAGCACCGTGAGCAGATTGCTTTCTTTTCTTTTGAAGTATTTTCTCACGATCTCCAAAAATTTGAAATAACAGGACTGAAGGATACAAAGATTTGTAGCTCTTAAATATTGTCAGATTATTCTACAGTAATACAACTGAACGGATTTAGAATATCAGCAGTGAAAAAAAAATGCTCATCGGTCTATTAGGAAAGATACCCTCCCCTCCTAGGTCAGGATTTCAACTGCACGCCAAAAAATCACTTAGCAGCATTCCTTCATCTACCACGGGGGCATAAAAAAGCCTCATGTAGGTCTTCCACACTTTGCAGGTGTAGGAATCGGCGTGGTCCATGCTGGGTACGAGAGACGCCTGGCCCATCACCTGGGAGCGCACAGCACTCCCTCCATCCTGGGAATCATAAATGGGAAAATCTCCTTCTTCCATAACGCGGTCGTCCGCGAGAACCTGCGACAGTTTGTAGAGAATCTTCTTCCAGGGAACTTGGTGGAGAAAGTAAGTACCTGGCGGAGCAGTAGGTTACCAGGTGCCTGGGACCGCTGGCGGCCCTGACCTCTGTCTGTGGTCATCTCAGACCTGAGGGCAAGGTCGTGTGTTAATCACTCAGCCGAAATCGTCTCAACGAAATCTGTAGGAGACTGAAAATTGAAACAGGGCGGAAAGACTGAGAGACTCCCTCCCTGTTAGTAACCACTGGACACACTTTGACAGTGGTGGGGATCTGAGCTTGAAGTGACAGCAGCTCTCATTTTCTAAACCAAAAATTAGATCACGACATGGGATGAAAGATTTCTTTCTGACTCGTGTGTTTTTTCATTTGAAGGTATTTGTCTTATGAAAGGATTCAAATTAGGTTACATTTGACTGTATATTTAACAGTCACATCCGTGGAAAACACAAGATTCCACGAAGTCAAGCATTTTTGCAACTTTTCAGAACTTAGCGTAAGGCAAGGATGAGTCAATTTCACAAACAAGAATTGCACTAAAGAAGCCAGGCACAAAGAGCACACACTAGTTTATCTTTATACTTAAGAAGCATTTTTCCTCCAGGATCTCAGATTAGGGATCAAAGGAGCTAGAACAGGATTCTTGTTTGCTTTAGCGATTCATTCCTTTAACTATACCAGAGAGAGCGAACATACCAACAATTCCATCTTATTTCCACATGCACCATGCATAGACTATCCCGCCAGGATCATTATCCACAGAAGAAATACTTGTTGGAGGCTCCTAGAACGATCACAGGTTGTCTGGATGGGTCCTCAAACATTTACGAAATACCTATTCTCCGCCAGTCACTGTAATGTTGAGGACTCTTTTCAAGGAGATCCCAGTCTAGTGGGTGCTTATTTCCATCTGACCTGCCGAGAGGCTGCCCAAGAGAGCTGGGAAAGGCTTCTTGGCAGAAACAGTCCCGGCACTAAGTTCTCCAGGTGAGCAGAGAAAGCGAATGAGTTGCAGGTGGACAGAGGTCCAGGACGTGAAACAGTTAGCTCTGTCTGAGGTAGTCACCAGTGAGCAGAAGAGGGTTTACTGGCATCTCACTGCCAGGGCCTCTGAGAGCCCAGCCGCCCTGGTCAGGAACTCGGACCTCGTTTGCAGGTGCTGGCACCACTGAAGGGGGCTGAGCTGAGAGTGAAATGACCAGATTGAGGTTTACTAGAGATCATGGTGGAAGCAGAATGGAAAGATAAACCTTCTTTAACTATGAAAAATTTCTAGGAAAAATTTTTATTTATCCATGTTTTTTTATTCTCATTAGGATTATTTCAGCCATAAACAGGGAAGCACAACAGTACCAATTCACGTGGTAATAAATGAAATCGTGTAACGTATAGACTGAGTGGGTTCTTTTAAGTCATTTTAAAAGAGGAATCACGGCATTATCTTCCACAGGTTAATAGATGAATAAGGACAGTCTGTAACAGATTAAGAAACATGTCTGTAATTCAGAAGTTTGATTTTTTAATAATATGCCCAGTAATCATTCCAGAAAAGATTGTTGATTTCAGTCTGTAGGACTGGGAACATGAAAAGATGAAATCAGTAACTATTCTTTTAAACCGTTTTAGTCAAACAAAGACAAAAAAATGGTAGTCTGCATTTTTTATTTCTTTTTTTTTTAAGATTTTATTTATTTATTTGATAGAGATCACAAGTAGGCAGAGAGGCAGGCAGGTTGGGGGGGAAGCAGGCTCCCTGCTGAGCAGAGAGCCCAATGCAGGGCTCAATCCCAGGACCCTGAGACCATGACCTGAGCTAAAGGCAGAGGTTTTAACCCACTGGGCCACCCAGGCGCCCCTGCATTTTTTCTTTCTTATGAAACAGTGTTTTACACTTATTTGATTTTGTTTCATTACCTCTTGACTACATTATAATGCACTTGTTGGGAACTGACTACTGAAACCAACCTCCTCTCTTCCATTTAAGGTTACAAATAAAAATTACGTCCGATTCCTCTCTGGCTGGCAGCAAGAGAATAAGCCTCACGTGCTTCTGTTTGACCAGATGCCCGTCGTACCGCTGCTGTACAAGGTATATGAGGTGCTGGGGGAATGTTTGCTCTTTTTTTGGTGGAAGGAACTTGTGGCCTGCTTGTCCTTTTTGTGAGTAAGAGCTTACTCAAAGAGAAATGTGTGAAGACCCGAAATTTGCCTTAACCACCGTACACCACATCCTGATGCCATTACCGTGCGTGTGCGTTCCACACACATACCAGCCTAGAATCTTTGGAAGAGCCCACGGGTATAGATAGCATCCCTGTTTTATAGACCCAAGATACCGAAACTCTGAGAGGTTGTATAACCTTTGCCCACGGTGACCCTCCATAGCACTTCTGGCTCCTCCCCCAGCCCCCGTTAGCCCCGTGACATGGATGGGAGAGCAAAGTGTCCCACCTAACCGTTCTCACCCTCACTGCCATCTTCCATAATTGAGGTAATTCCTCAAACACTCCATGCCTGCAACCCAGTGTGTATCTCAGGAAACTGAATATTTTTCTCCATCGGTGAAAAAAAATAAAATTCCCTGTGTTTAGCTTTCTGGGTACAGTTTTCGGGCTCTAGAATTCCTCCAAGTGCACTAGCAGCCCGAGTGGGGCTGTACAAGCTAGGAGTCGTCTCCACCCGTGGTGTGAACGGGTGGGTCTCTCTTGGTTTGTGTGATCCTGCCACCAATTAAATTTCTTCCTCTCTCTTACACCCTAACAGTTGACTGCTTTTGCATACAAAGATTACTTGTCATTTGGATACGTACACGTCGGTCTGAGAGGGGCCGAAGAGATGACAAGACAGTACAATGTCAACGTCTACGCCCCCACCATCTTGATCTTTAAAGAACACATAAACAAGCCTGCAGACGTTATCCAGGTACGTGGGAGTCGCCCTGGCTTGCGGTCGCCCTCACATTGTGTCTTGGGCCTTTAGAAATAAACGGCGACGCTGAACAGAGCCAGTGAGAAGGAGAAATTCGTTTTTCATTTCTTCCTTCAGAGGCATGAAATTTAAAAACAAATTTGGTTTTTATCCAGTTTGGGTCTGTTTTACTCAAAAAATAGTCTTTTGACAGAAAATAGGATGGTGTTGATGCCCCGGGCTGAGGGAAGAAGATAGGGGAGTTAGTGTTTCATGAAGACAGTTTCCATTTGGGAAGATAAAAAGGTTCGGAAGGTGGGTGGGGGTGATAGCCGCGGGACAGTGTGAATGTACTAAATGCCACAGAATTACGCACTTGGAAAGGGTTAAAATGGTCCATTCTTATTATAGATTTTGCCACAAAAGTAAAATAAATAAGAGGGGCACCCAGTTGACTTAGACATAGAGCATGTGACTCTCCTCTGTCTCGGGGTTGTAGGTTCAAGCCCAACATTAGGTATAAAGATTACTTAAAAATAAATCTTTAGGGGCACCTGGGTGGCTCAGTCGTTAAGCATCTGCCTTTGGCTCAGGTCATGATTCTGGAGTCCTGGGATCGAGCCCCGCATCGGGCTCCCTGCTCCGTGGAGAGCCTGCTTCTCCCTCTTTCAGTCCCCCTGCTTGTGTTCCCTCTCTCACTGCGTCTCACTCTGTCAAACGAATAAATAAAATCTTTAAAAAAATTTTTTTTAATAAAATAAGAAACAGTCATCACCTTTTATCTCTAAAGTGATCCTGTCAGAAAATCAGTAATCTTACTCTAAAATAAATTTAGAAATTAAATATAAAACAACAAAAAGGAATGAAAGAAAACCATTGTAAACTAACTCAGAGAATATATAAGTGAATATCTGATCTTAAGGTAAAGAAGGCTTCAGGGTGCCTGGGTGTCTATGTCGTTAGGATCGGGCCATGGTCCCAGGGTCCTGGGACGGAGCCCCACATCAGGCTCCCTGCTCAGCGGGAAGCCTGCTTCTCCCCCTTCCATGCCCCCTGCTTGTGTTCCCTCTGTCGCTTTCTCTCTGTCAAATAAATAAATGAAATCTTTAAAAATAAAAAAGATAAGGGCTAAAAATCTTGTTGGAAAATCTTAATTTCTGTATAAGTTTAAAATTTGTATGTAAATACTTCAAAAATTTTAAGTTAAACAATAAGCTAAGGGAAATACTTATAACCGATCTAAAAAAGATTATCTTTAATTTCTCATGAGCTTCTTCTAATCAAAGAGATCAACACAAAACTTCCTGAAAGTGATTGCTTAATGGGTATAGAGTTTTCTTTCGGGGTGATGGAAATGTTTGGGACTAGAGAGAGGGGATTGTTACACAACTGTAAATGTACAAAATGCCACGGAGTGATATTTTAAATAGCTAATTTTATGTTATGTGAATTTCACCTCGATTTTAAAAAATTTTAATAAAATTCCCCAAGCAGGGTAGGCTGAGAATATGAATAAAATTCTGAGAAGAGACTCGGGTGACTAATAATCACTTTTTTTTTTTTAAGATTTTATTTATTTGACAGACAGAGACCACATGTAGGCAGAGAGGCAGGCAGAGAGAGAGAGGGGGAAGCAGGCTCCCCGCTGAGCAGAGACCCCCCCCCCGCCAATGTGGGGCTTGATCCCAGGACCCTGAGATCATGACCTGAGCCAAAGGCAGAGGCTTTAACCCACTGAGCCACCCAGGCGCCCCTAATAATCACTTTTAAAAATTAAATCTGACAAATCAAGAAAAGCCAGTTTAACATTTTCTTCTCCTCCCATCACGTTGTTCAAGATTTTCAAGGAGAAGATACTCAGTTGAGAGTAGAGAGAAGCGGGCAGTCTTTTGCGGAGCTGGAGGAAGCTTCAGAAGTTTTCAGAAAAGCAATTAGGTGATAATAGGCCAATTGCCTGGATTCATTCGCGGAAAGAGTACTCCTGAGTACCTCGCAGGGGCCAAACACTGCCCTGCGCTGGGGACAAAGCCCTGAACAAAGTCACCTAAATTCCTTGTTCCAAGGTCTACCATGCGTTCTAGTGGTGGGACAGAAAATGGGCATAGCATCACCCCATGGTGGCCTGTCAAGGGAAGAAGAGCCGAGGGGAAACATAAAGCTGGAAAAGGGAATGGGGAGTTGGGAGAGCGGGTTCACATGTTTTAAGACAGAATGACCGAGAAAGGCCTCACTAAGAGGCGGCTTGCGTAAAGACCTAAGGGAGATGAGATTACCTTTTAGGAATCTGTCCTCAGGGAAAAGGAATTCAGGCCAAAATTACAGAGACATTATCATTTGTAACCAGTTTCACTGGGGGAAAAATAGAAGTATCCAGCAGTAGGCTAATTACTGGTGTGCACCAAACAGGGACTACTATATAGCCGTTGAGCCATTAAAACGGCAGTTCTAGAACACTTACTGATGGGGACAGTTTCCGTCACATAATGTTGAAAGGAGCAAGCAGGATACAAAATTGAGGCGCAAGTCTGTAGCGGGTCTGAACCCTCTCCCTGGTCATCTCAGACCCGAGTTCCTCAGTAGTTAACTAATAACGCAGACAAAATCACTTAGATGAGGTCTGTAGGAGAATGAAACTTGACGTAGACGTAGCACAGACTGAAGGCTCTCAGTAGATGTCCGTTCTAGACACGCCTAAACACTGATCTCGATTTTGCGACGTGTGTGTGTGTGTGTGCGCGCACGTAGGAAAAAGCCGGAAATATCTCTTGATGGCAAAATTACATATTATCCTAATACTTGGGTTTTCAAAAATCCCTTTCATGAACATGTATTACTTTATTTCTTTAATGTTACTTTTAATTTTTTTTCTTCTAAAATTTTTTTTCCACATAATCTCTACACCCAACGTGGGGCTTGAACCTGCCACCCTCAGATCAGGAGTCAGCATGCTCTACCAACTGAGCCAGCCAGACACCCCTATATATATATATATATATATATATTTTTTTTTTTTTTTTAAAGCAGTAGGAAGCCTCTGACTCATCCTCTCTTAAAGGAAGCTAGAATGAGAAGTTCTAAAAAATCGCTTCTTTCATTCACTTCATAAACATTTTGTTGCCTGCCTGTTGTGGAGGGAATACAGAGGAGCTCTGACATCCAGAGTTAGTCTTTGTCCTCACGACTCCATCGAAGGAGAGAGGCCTGAAGGCAATTTCCATCCACCAGCCTGGGTGACTCACTCCGATGTGAACATAGGGCAAGGGCCCTTGAGGCTGGGACTTCGGGAAGGACATGGCGTGAGGCAGAACCAGATGGGGGAAGGGGACAGTAAAGCGAGAAGGGCAGGTTTAGAAGAAGGTAATGAATTCAGCTGTGGATGTACAGAACGCGAGTGGCCTACGGGAAGTCTGAGGGATGGTGTCCACCGGACAGTGGGATGTAGGGATCCAGGTCTTAGTGGGCTGGGGAGGGAGGTCTGTAGCTCCTCAGTGAGTGGTGAGAGGCAGAAGTCCCCAGTGGGAAGCCATCTCCCAGGCATTGGTAGTAGGTGAGGGGAGGAGAGAAGGGGGCCAAGGACAGATTTCTGGGCAACCGCAGGCAGTTAAAAAGGCTGTGCCCTGCCCCGTGGCCGCTGAGGAGCTGAGAGAGTCAGGAAGAAAACATGCCAGCGGTGAAGAAAGGAAAAGAACTTCTCAATTCAGGATTTATCTATGAAGACTTCCGAAATTGCTTTTCAGGAATAGCTTCTCCTCTTGAGAATGATTCATTTGTCCCTTGGGGGAAGTCGTAACTCAGATACATTTACAGAATTACTGGCACAGGGGCGCCTGGGGGGCTCAGTCGGTTAAGCATCCGACTCTTGATTTCGCCTCAGGTCATGATCTCAGGGTTGTGAGATCGAGCCCCGCACCCAGCTCGGTGCTGTGGGTAGAGCCTGTTGAAGATTCTCTGTAGCCCTCTGCGCCTCTGTCCTCCTGTGCACACACACACGCTCGGTCTCTTGCTCTCTAAAAAAAAAAAATTACTGGCACAATGGATACTTTTCCAGTTTGCTCCTGTGGGTCTGAAACCAGCACCGCCCCACGGCAGGTGACTTAGTAGGTGACACTGGCGGCCCCGCTTGTTCCGTGGCGCACTTCTGAATGTGTTGTGTTTGGGCTGCAGGATTTACGGCCACGTGCTAATTTCTTGATTCTTTCTTCCCTCGATGGGCATTTTGGGGCTTTAGGAGCCATGTTTCCATGAACATGGGCGTCTCAGTCTATCTGGGTTTCTCTAGGACAGCAGTTTGTACAGGTTCACAGACCCTGGGGTGAGGGTGAGAAGTCTGTGAGGTCAAAACAGTCTTCCTAATAACATAAAGACGTAATTTGTCTTTTAGCTCTGTGTTGACACTTATGCTGATGGTACGAGAGCCATAGTGAGTGAAACTGCCAGAGCGCGGCCCCATGTGCGGCCCCTTGCGCAGCCCAGTGCACCAGCCAAGTCACATCCCAGTGCATAAACCCAGGCCTGGGCCCCAGACCACCAGTAAGCTGCTGTTTTTCACTCCTAAGCACTCACCATAAACACAAACAGAAAGGGGCGCCTGGGTGGCTCAGAGGGTTAAGCCTCTGCTTTCAGCTCAGGTCATGGTCTCAGGGTCCTGAGATCGAGCCCCGCACCGGGCTCTCTGCTCAGCGGGGAGCATGCTTCCCCCTCTCTCTCCCTGCCTACTTGTGATCTCTGTCAAATAAATAAATAAATCTTAAAAAAAAAAAAACAGAGAACAAAAACAAGGGTGCCTGGGTGGCTCAGTGGTTAAGCCGCTGCCTTCGGCTCAGGTCATGATCTCAGGGTCCTGGGATCGAGTCCCGCATCGGGCTCTCTGCTCAGCGGGGAGCCTGCTTCCCTCTCTCTCTCTCTCTGCCTGCCTCTCTGCCTACTTGTGATCTCTCTCTGTCAAATAAATAAATAAAATCTTTAAAAAAAAATTTTAAAACAAAACAAACAAAAAAAACTTACCGCTTAATGCC